AAGAGTAAACCAGGAAAATAGCCAACAAGAAGCAATCAGCGCGCATGTGTGTTGCTCGTTATTTGCTTGGATTACTTTTTGACCTGAAGATAGAGGCAATATGAGCATATTGGAAATGTCGGGAGATTTTCTCAGGTCTATACGGCTTTATATACTGGATGATAGAGCTCTTCATAACCACCAATGTGGAAATCTCAAATCAAAATTCTTTTATAGATATCAAAAATTTTGCCGAAATTCGTCCAGTAGTTTCGGAGAAGCATACAGACACACTTATGTTCTGAAATACATGATCTCCACCTCATACGTTCATTTTGTATGCTGCGTTCAAAGAATGCCCTGCATTCGTGAATGAGGAAACAGCTGTAAACTTAAGGCCAATGAGGGATGATCTGTATTCAGGATATTGTGTTTTCAATGTGAAAAAAGCTTCGCCCTTTCTGGAGAGTCTCGACGCACTCATTCTGAAGTTGCACGCAGCAGGTCTTTTGCTCAATTATGAGGGGTAGGTAAGGATTACAAATTTTCTCCTGTGAGCAACTGAAACTTTTGCAATTAATTTCAATGTTTCATTTTGAAAACACACTGCATCCACAACACACAAGATTTGATGAAGCTCCCAACTTATAAATCAAGGATGTGACAATGTGCTGTCTGGCCAGAGGTATAAGAGACCTCAGAAGGTGGTTACAAATGTGTACAGAGCAATGGTAAGGTGATGATTAGCAGAGCAACACCAAAGAAACTCAGAGAGCAGCTTACTCTATTGCCACTTTATCCTGCACGAATGTCATATGAATCACTATGGACTGAACACGAGGATTCTTGGTGAGAAGCCAACGCCATGACCTGTTGCACATCCTCACAACACCATTTCCACCACCAACACCAATAATAATATTACTTCACATCCCAGATTCACACATGGAAATAATGACACACTCTTCTTCTTGTGTATGCATTAATCAAACAATTATTGCTATTCAAGACTGTCTTTGAATCTTTGAACCTCCTCCACCTCCACTTTACCCTGTTCCTTCTATCGCATAAAGGGTACTTCCATGTTGAAGGGTTAAAACAGACATTTCTTTGCTCATAAATAAAGGTCTTGCAATACATAATCTTATAATTAATCATATGGAAAGAATCAGATATTGAGCTATGTAATGCACATGAATATTGTGGTAACATTCTGATCTATGTGCAGGTGGTGAGGGCGCTGTCACAGTGTATGCAGCTGGTACTGGCGAAGAATGATCAGCCAACTTCAGACTCGAGTCCTGTTACACTACAAATACAGCATGTGCAGGGACCCTTATTTCTTCTAGGATTTGGCCTTCTGTCAGCTTTGTTAATGTTCATTATGGAAATCATAAAGTCATGTTTACCGAGTAGAAACCTCAACATACCACAGTGAAAACTACATGTGACAGTAATTTATTTTTTATTCACAAACTTGACTTATATAAGTCAAATCTTTGGAATTTTAAACAATATTTTATTTGTAATAGTATGTGATAAAAAAGTACCAGCTAGACAAGAACAAGGAATTCTGTATTTCAGCATCCTGTTGCAAGTGTTCACATTAGCGTCCATTTGTCTGTAATCTGTCCAAATTGCAATACTTTTTATTTCACACTTCAATACACTCTCTAACACTACATGTTTTGGCCTCAAACGGCCATCTTCAGGTGTTTTTACAGATGTTCAATTAAGATTGTGTCAAAACTGCTAAACTGTTTCACTGTTCTAATTCATTTTAAAAACCACAGGTTGTGGTCTTCTTTTTAATTAAAATCAGATAACATTCTTTTATAATTTGTTACTTATTGTTTTATTTCACTCAGGGTGTCATCATTTCAGTAAAATATAAAATGTTTTCCTTGGCAGCTTGTTCCTCACATTAGTTATATGTAATCTGTAAGTTCTTTTGATAAACAATATCCTATGAAGAGAATGTGAGGCTTTACACTTCCAAAGTTTATCTCTTGAATGATAAGTGGAACAGTATTATGAATAATGCTGCTTATTGCAAAAGTGTATGGAAAATGTGGTGTACCTATTAAGTGCCCTAGTCCAATATGTCTGAGGTCATAAAATTCATAAATGTTTTCTATCTTCCACTACAGTTGCTCATGAACTGTTATGCTAGGCCTGCCTCATTCACACTGGAATTCAAATGGTATTTACATGAGATTTGAGAATCTTATGCAGTGAATGTTGAATAACAGTCTTATGGGATTAACGCTATGTAGTTTGGTAGATACGTCCTGATGATTCGGACGAACCAATTACATCCATCTTCAACCCAGAAGACATCAAATCCCAAAATACCATCATCTGTCTTATTTATCACTGTTGTGAGTTATAAATGAATACTTTCAAATTAGCTGTTTCTTAGATCATACAGGGATCCCAGTAACAACCCATAATCTTCCGTTACATTTATATTCCCTATTTCTCACTTTCAATGATGAATAGTATTCAATATGTGACCTTACTGAATACTGTAATAAAATGGTGGGGATTTCTGCTTTGTATCTGAAAAGGTCCATGATTTAAACTTGGTTAGGGGGGCAGGCTATCATTACTGTGACTTTTCAAGATAAACAATAAATATTCAAGTACGAATAAAATTATTCTGTATCATAAGAAAGACAATAGGAATGAACAGGCCTAAAATAAGAACATAAATGAAGAACTCAAGAATACAAGCATACTTGACTTCCTCCCTCCAACAATATGCTGGGGAAATTTTTTAAGCTGTTTTGGAATTTTATTTTATGACATATCTGACAGAATTATCAGCTGCCTGTTCCAGTCAGTTCCTAAGAAAAGATGGAATGGCCCTTATTTTGATGCATTTGCTCCAGTTTGATAACAGTTAACAGAGGAAAACTGGAACACTTGCTGAAAAACCTGCTCCAGAGCTATACTATAAACCACAATCTCTCCTGGGACTGAACACAGGTCTCAGGGATGGTAAGATAGGATACAATCACCTGAGTCATAGCATAGTCGTGGTCAGCAGAAATACTATTATAAAAACTTCAGATCACTGAAAAATGAACATAAAGATTAACACCCTCATTTCACCCTTTGAAGCCTGAAGTTCACATAACATTTAACAATTCAGTCCCTATCATACAAAAACACGCTGTATCTCATTGGATGAGGTTGTCAAAATGGTGACTGTGATGTGATTCTGTGTAGTTGGTGTTGAATTTCGCTGACATATCAGAGGAACACACATTGCCTCCATCTTAAAGGCCAAAAAGTAATACAAACAGAAGTCTTCATGCAGCATGTCCATTACAAAGACCAATGAGTTAACACCGTGCATGAAATGACTATTATGTAGTATGAGAATCATACTGAACACATGAACACTACTGTGTACACAAAATACAGAGATCCTGAGGGTTAAAGTGGGTAGCATATATAGTAGCCCCCGTGCTCTAAACTTTAAAGAATTAACACTGGTTCTTAAAACATTTACAAATACTGTCTCAATTTCATACTTTAATATAGTATTTAATGTTATAAAGGCAAGAAAGGGTTTAGGAGATGATTGTAACCTACACATCTAGGTGGACACACCCACAAAATCCTCAGCCAAAATACCACTAACACATCTGAGCTCTGAACTTCAAATTTCCTGGATATATTATTGTTACATCTACCTGCTTGGTGAAATTCCTGATGAAATATACATTCTGTATATTTCAGATTCTTAAGAAGTGATTAATACAACACAATTATTATTTCTGTAATGGAATAGTGCAAAAGCAGAGACCTTATATTTGTACCTTATTCTTATATTATAGAATTTATTTGTAGAAAATACATACATTTATTGACAATGGACAAGACAATTCCTCATTACAGACAAATAATGTTTATATTTTACATAAACTTCCATTTAACACCCCTTTCAGAGACATCAGGTACAGACAAAGTAATTCTTCACAGATAAATAACATTCACAGACTATGAGTTTGATTACAAAACTATAGAAAACAAATTCTTCAGACACCTCAGCTGGGAATGGTGATTTATATGAGGCAGCTTGATAACTGCCTTCTGCATGAGCACGAACCTTTGGTGCAGTACATACTGCAATATGTGTTCTGTAAGTACAATGTAATGTGCAATTTGACAAATATTGCTCACATTTGCAATGTTAATCTTGCAACACGTATAGCTGAATTTGAGGGGAACATTTTTCTATTGTTTCAGATTACCTGACTATGGTGTGATGCACTGTGTAAGGCTATTATGGCAGCTATTCAAATAGAACCTGTTTGTAGTGCTGCTAGCAAACATGGCTAGTTGAATCGGTTTCATTTGAACATGCATAATATTTTCTTGGACTCAGTCCAAAGTCTTTTAAATACTAAACCATGGGTTCTATTACTGCTTTCAGATGAATTGGGTATGAAGACATTCATACTCTGTCAGACATCCTTGATATAGCTTCTCTCATGCAATGGTCCGTTTCTTTATGAATTTCTTCGTATCATGTCCATCTGAAGATAGAAATACTGGGAGATTAGTACTATGTCAGCTGCTGTTTTACTCAAAATGCTGCAACTTCATGCAGTGAACTTTATGTTCCTATGTTATAGGAGATTCTGAATATGTTCACTTTGTGGTTTACTTTACAAAGCTGTCAGTATCTCAGAGTATAAAGTGCTGAATGCTAGGATGACTGTTGAAAATAATGAAATGGAATGGGTTAAGAAAGAAGTGTTTGTAGCCTATGAGGCACTCTCCTGGCATCTGCCTAGAGCGACACAGTAAAACCACGAAAAACCTCAGTCTGTAGAGGTGGTGCCCTAACTGATTCATGCTAAGCACCTCTCAAGTGAAAAAACATTACTGCTACATGAATCTGAAAGTACGTATTGATGAGGAACACTAACAGGGAATCCAGTATGTACAACAGTTGTCGTAAGATGGAAGGCTTTCATTTTTATTGAGGGAAAATAACAAGTAACTCATGTTGATCTACTTGGTCCTGCACCAAAACATGCTTTCTCTTTTAATTTCTTGCGATGGGCTCCAATTGATATCTTTGTATCCTGTTCCTCATCTTTCTGGTCTGAACTATCATCCATCGCTGATGCCAACTTCTTTCGAATATCATCTGCAATCATAGGACTAGCATAATCCAACAGTTGATGTGGTTTATTCTCTTTACTTTCATTGTTCAATTTACACTTGAGTTCATAGTACTTTTTACTAATTTCATCCAATGAATTAAGTATACCACTCTCCTCCAATGTCAGTAGCTCAGATTTGTGGGATAAATTCTCGTCTGCAGTATCATTACGTTCCAGGTACTTCCTCATGCTTTTCTCGAGACCATATTCACGTGGCATCGCACAAAAATGGAATGCATTCTCTGCCAGCAGCTTGTTGAATATGAAAAGTGCATCATAATGTTGCTCTTCACATACAAACTTCATCAGACTGTAGGAATCTTGCCATTCTTTGAAGTTTAGACGAATCTTTACCAGATACTCGCCATCTGTAATCATTGTGTAAGTTATATAATTAAACCTAATAGTACTTATTTAGTAACACACAGAGCTGAGCCCTTCTTGAGGAGCCGCCAATTCTGCAGCGACTCAAGAATTTTCCAGCATTTTATGGAACCTGAAGGTTCATTACTGTGTTCACAAGAGCCCTCCACTGGTCCCTATCCTCAGCCAGATCAATCCAATCCATACCATCCCATCTTAGCTCTGTAAAATCCATTTTACTATTAATTATATCATGCTCAGTCAGTCAGTACAGTGATCAGGCTATGGGTTCACCAGTTTTCATGGCACAAAAAGGGGTTAAAATTTTGATGAGGTACATAAATATAGGAAATAAGCATGGTTTTAACAGCAGAGTTAATGTAGGTGAGAACAGTGTCGTCGTTGTTGCCGCTGCCGACACCGCCACAGCCACCGCCAGAGCCGCTGCTGCTGCCACTGCCACTGCCGCTGCTGCCGCCCTTATCATTACTGTCACGTCATGTCTCCACTGCGTAATTACAGCTGCTTTCCAAATTATAATAAACTTTGCAAAGAAATGTAACACAATCTTATTACGGTCTGAGAAACAAAGTCCTCTGACAACCCCCAATGTGTAATGGTATAATGAGTGCTTACCTTCAATAGTTGGTTGCTTATAGTAAAGTCCATACAGCAGGTACAATCCACAAAGCCTTGTCTGCAATGGGTGTGGCGGAAGAAAAAACTCTTTAGCAATTTTCAGAACCTACAATTAAGTGATACACACAATGTAAACAAACAGTCTTGCGATTTCTTGATTTAGGTTTAAATGTTCATGGTCTCAGTCCAATTACTGCATTGACTTGAGATGTTTCTTGCTTTTGAGTTAAACTTTTGTGACTCCAGAAAAATCTTACACGAGTTTAGATGATCTGTTTCTATAAATTAATATTCAGTTACTTTTCTTTAGGACAGACGTTTTCAAACCGTGACACATATACTACCAACAGAATTAAAATCTTTCATTTGATAGGTTTACATAAAAAATACAAAGTATGAATTTTGGTTGGTAGGCTACGATTGGATTAAAATTTGTAATAAAGAAGGAAAAGCATCTTGAATAGAGGGAAAACTCACAACCTGTGGATATACCACTGAAATATAATGTTAGAGTTGGCAACATCATAGTAAACAATTTGAGAACTAGGTAACAAGACATAACCTAGTTCTTAAATTGTTTACTATGATGTTGCCAACTCTAACATTATATTTCAGTATTTAAGAGTTGCCAACATAACAGGTTTCACAAGATAAGATGGCTGTCTTAATTTTTACTGTTATGTGGTGTAATACAATCTAATTCATTGAAAGGAAATGGTTTGGGTTATGTGATTGGCATATAAACAAAGGTGACTATGAACATTTTTGAAAATGACCCCAAAACACATAGTCACCAATGCATATTGATCACACAAAAGAGTTTGGAGAATGAGGTTACTGCCGTTTGCGCACTTGTGTCTTGAGAATGATCGTGATGATGATGACACTAATAAATGGAAGTATTGGACCCACAGATTCATTCAAGAGAGGCAAGGATGGAGGAAAGGCATGGACAAAAAGATATTCTGTAATTGAAATATCAGCCTGATATCTGGATACTTTCCCTCCATAAACAAAATCGTTAATGCAACTTTTCCGCCAAAAATATTCTACACAAATAACTATTAATTAGAACATATAAACTCTTAATTATTTTTATTAATTAATTATTTCTATGTACCACATTCTGTGCACATTTTCTACATCCATTTCAGTTAAATTTTACTGAGTACAAAAATATGAAATTAATTTACATCATACATAATCTCACCTCTTCTATGAACTCATAAAGTTCTGCAAAACTCTCTTGGCCACAATAAATGCATGAAAATTTCATGTACTGTCATATTTTAACAAATTCCTTAAAACGGACAGATTCTGTTGCTATGAATCTTTTCAGGGAAATTTCGGCAGTCAGTCTTGACACCAAGACCAATGTACCGACTATTCATATCTGCAAGTAAACAAATGAAATAAAATGCTTCATGATCAAAGTATCCATACACATATGGAATTTAAATATTTCACACATCTCAAAACGCACATAATTAAATACATTCTTCTTGTCAAGTTCTGCAACTCCAGACTGGTACAGTTTTGATCTGGAGTGAATCTCAAACTGTGGTCTGTGCATCACTGACGGTACATGACATACCACCAGATGGTCCATACCATTATATACTTCACATAATTCATTCATTCATCAGTAATCTGTCAAGACGACAGGTCCACAGTCTCTTCCAAAACAGTTCCTCCACTTAATGCGATCTAGAGCTTTCTCCTTCAAATATTGTATGACTAGTAATTCATAAAATAATTTAAATTTAAAAAACTATGATTAATCATTGATTGAAACCATTTACTTCAGGTGGACAGAAAAATGTTGTTTACAGTAACATTAAATATAATTTATTTTCTATTCACAGAAAAAAGTGAAACTGCATGCCCTTTACAGCTCAGTGGTCTACATGAGTGCTGACTGCCCGTGTAGTGGTCCGAAGATGCCGAAAGTTTGAGAACTACTGGTCTAAAGAACAGAATAAGATGTCCAGATATAACACTTTCATGGTGATGTATATACAATGCAGATGTGTGGGTAATAGAGTAGCACTGGTAGACGGTTCTAACATTTGAGAGGAACCATCCACCCCCATTTCCTGAGTACAAGAAAAAGGCAAAATATTTGCAACAGATGAGAATTAACATTGTATTTAAGCCTGTTTCTCCCGGTTTCCATACTGCTGTATAAACAAGAATGAGGCTCTTGTGTAAGTAGGTGGCCATATGATTTATGGAGATTAAAAGCATTAAAAAAAGGAATACTATTACAGCAGGGCTAAATATGTAATTCTTAAATACACTAGTCATATAATAAAATCCACTTTCATTACATTCAACCAGAAATTAAGAATGCATGCACCACATGTATTCAACAACTAGTTCACAGTTAAGTGTACTTCAAGAGGCCCAAGAGTAAATAATTCTATAGGAACAATTGCAAGAAGATATAAAACAGGAAACATTACTAGTTACAGTCAATTTTCATAACTCAAGAACACAGCCTGATCATGGTACAAACAACTGAAGTTAAGGTATCACACTTGCTCATTGAGATTAAATGGATTTTTTAAATATTATTTTGAAAAAAGAAGTCTAAGAAAAGGTTAAATTGTCAGTATCTTAATACTAATTAATTTTTATAATTTCATCAGGAATGTTGGAATGGCTTGTGTATGAGTTTTCTGCCAAAAAATCCTCAATAACATTTCTAACCTACTCAACAGAGGTGACAGATATAGTAACTTATGTAAAATCAAGTGTCTTCAGCAATACTCAAATTCACAGTCTTAGCTGGTTTCTTAGCTGTATACATGTTCCTGATTTTGCAACTAAGGATTCAGGTAGTGCAATTTTCATTCTAAAATACACACCACAGCTGACAAAGGCATTTAATCATGCACAGTGCTTTACTTGATGTCTTGGGAGGATAGAATTCCGAGTCCATGAACATAAGCTTTTTCTTTATATTAAGATGTTGTACAGTGTTTGGTTGTATGAGGGGTAGGCCTCCTCGGCCCTTGCACCGCGACCTACAGTGGTCTATTGTGCTTTTGTACAGTGTTTACTAGAGCATTTAAAAAAGTTATTTATGCATTCTTTGTACACCTTATATAGGGCATGNAAAAAAAAAAAAAAAAAAAAAAAAAAAAAAAAAAACAAACAAAAAAACTGAAAGTTATTACATGAAAATTCTGTGAATCCAAAAATATGACTGGTGACAAAGAGAACAGAAATTTCAATCACAAAATACTCGCATGTACTAATAGGTCTGCTGCATTTTGGTCTAACATTGTTAACTTCTTGTATATTCATGACGGTTGCATTTGAAATTCTTCCAGTCCTTTTAAACTCTATGGAATAATTTCTTTTTGCACATTCAAAATCACGAGCAATATACCTGTTGCAGTGATGTCAGGTTAGACGAAAAAAACAATATTAGCTCCAGAATATATACCAGTGGAACATATAATAAACTTAAACCGCGTATGCAGAAACTGTATATATTCCTTCAGAACACAGATTTCTAACAATACTCGTATTAATTCTGTGAAATTATGAAAAAAATTCAACCACCAGACAACCACTCAAAAACCAACGCCTACTACCGTAATCGGTAATACCAACATGTACGCATGAATTTTATTTCGTGTGATATGTACCAAAGTATAGTAGTCTTAGTTAACGTTGTTGAAAAGGTACAACTGTAGTACATAAATCAGTCATCTTAACAGAGACACTGGAGGAACCAATTAAAAACCAAGTATTTTGAATTATAGAAATTGAACCCTTACGAAAACGATGCCCACTGCTTAAGACTCAGAAATATGCATGCCATCTATCATCTTCTCCAGAACTACTACCCTGCCAATAAACGAGGATTTATCGATTTAAACGTTCGCAGTCCGTTGCACTGCACATGTATATACCCAGTTCAAAAATGAGCATAAGTGGTTTAACCAATATCACTGTTTTCATACCCATTAGGAGAACGCTTCTCAGCAGTCCAATACAAAGAACATCCACTTTACTGGAATCAACTGCACCATCTTAAAATTATCGTTAGTGCTTTGGACAGTTGAAGATGGGGTAACTTGGAATGAAAAATATTTCCATCATGCATATTTGTACTCCATCTTACAACGTACACTTCGAAGCTACGCAAAACATTGTTTTTAATTTACTTTAGAATATTACAAAATGCATAACAAGCAGTAACACTTCAATTTTCTGACAATTCACATACATAACACTTTTACACAAGAAAAGACAGCACCAGTAAACCAGAGAATATCAATTCCTCAAACAAGAATACATATTCTGTTTCATTATTTATGTTCCGCATTTGTTAAGTTCATCTTCTTGTTCTTGTTTATCATTTCCTGTTATTTTTTCCACAGTATACAAAGAAGTAACATGAATCGATTAAAATGAAATAAGAAAATATAACAAATAAAAACAGGATATCTTAGGAGGAAAGGTCAATATTGTGGGAGGTCATACCATCAGTCACTCTAAGGAAAAAAGTGCATAGGTACGTGTCCTATTTGCAATGTTTTGCAGTTTTCAAAAATATACAGACATGAAAAAAACTGAAAATCTGAGACATTATTAATAATGGAGTTAATCGGGTTTATATATTAGGTTACATGTTTAGTTTGATTTGAGCATTAGGCCACTATGCATTTACTTGCCCATTTGGGTAAACCTTCATTAAACTGGCCAGGACTGGGTTAGGTTGGCACATTAGACAACTGTGCATGCATCTGCAGATTCAGACTGAACTTGGTAACACTGGGTTACCCATTCAGGCAAAGCTTGTAAAGACCGTGGTACTGGTTTAGGTTCACGCATGAAGCCATTGCTCATTCATGCACAAATCTGGGAAAAGATGGGCCACGCTGGGTAATGTTACATCACTGGCACGTTACACTACGATGAATCAACCTACCATTTGATTTTTTTAAAAAATTTAAAAGCTACAAATATTTTAAAGTTCTTCAATTTATGAAAAATTTGAACTTCAGGTTGTTCTCGAAATCTTACAAAGATTTTGAATTGAAAATTTTGATAAAATTATCAACTTTTCGGACATTATTCATCATCGTTTTTATTTAGCGACAATGTTTCAGACGCTGCACTCTCCGTCTCCCTCCGCATATGAAAAGCCTACTGCGCTGGGCCCGGTCGATAGAGCTAGTTTTTATCTCCAGGGATAGGGACTAGCTCTAACATTCGGCCAACTCAGTAGACTTTTACCAGTCACCAAAATTTATTTTTAAATAAAAACCAGGGAAGGATATTTCAACCACTTCATCAATTGAGCAAGGAAAGTTTTGCTGATGTTCAGGTAGATGGCCCAGCTATAATTACAAAAGATATCAACTGCAGACAATGTACAGGAACTGAAAAATAAATTTTTCTTGAGACAAAATATTTATTTATCACAGTATACTGGAATTGCAAATCTTTGTTTGCTTCAAAGAAATGCTGACCACTGGAATCAGACATACCGAATTGCTGAAATGTGTTGGATGGGATTTCCCTGCATTTGCTTCTGAATGAGGAAGATTGATATGCATATGAATATGAGCCATAAAATAAGGCAGAACTGCAAACAGACTTGGAAGTTATCACCAGACTAATGAGTCTTTTTGTATGGTATGGGTTTCTTTTAAACCTCCATCCATGCAGACTGTAAAATTTGTAAATTCATCAGATAAATTACGGGTGAGCTTCTGAAACAACAGTAACTTAATGTCCTAAGATTCCATTCTTATTGTACTGGTAACACAGGCTTGTTTCTTTTATTCTGTTTACTTCCTGTGCTCAGTTTGGACTGTTTCTTTAACACCTAACGTGTAATATACATTGTCAAATATTCTTATGTCTTATTCCAGGGAACAACAGTTCTGCATGGTGAGGTGGTAATGCTTTGATGTTCCATGGGACCACGATATTTTCTCGTGGCTTCTGTTTGCAACGGCGGAGTAACGTTTTGGTTGTAGCAATCACCAGAAGAAAGATCCGATAGATAATTTCGAAGATACTAATTATGCTTCCGCCCATGCAGAGGCCAAAGATTCCACCAAAAGTAGCTGAAATGGAAATAATTTGTATTATTTTGGATGCACAGAGGCATTAAGAATATATTTTCTGCACACACTGTTTAAAAGAGAAGCAGAATTTGAAGGTTATATGTCATACTCCTTACCCATATGTTTCATCTGAAATTACAACAGAGAAAGTGGCTGTTCCACGTCTGACTTTTGCGCTACGTCCTACCTGTTTCTCATAAGAAAAACTGTAGATGCATTTGCATGAATTCTGAAGGGCTGAACCACATTTTCGTCTGTAACCAATTAGATGACCGACCAACCAACCAGCCAGGCAATCAACTGACTGAATAACTGACTAATTAGCAAACATGGAGCAACTTGTCTGTGGAACTGCTGGTTCTCAAACTTAGATTTTATATTTAGGAGCTACTGTCTAAACAGGAAGGTATTTGTAAATGATGAACTGATAAAGGGAGCAGTGACAGCTGATTTTAAAGCACTTGTTCGTACTTAATGAAACCACATAATGACTTCATTACGATAACAAATGTCAAGACTGGGAATATAACCTTAGACCTTCTGAAAATGAAGCAACATTTCTAATCACTACACTGGGACCTAGACACAGTATATATGTGGGAGGATAACATTAAAAGATATCTTACAGAAACAGAATATGTGGGTGTGATTGGCAGGGTTCTATAAAAGAAGGGGTATTTGTGGACCATCTGTGCTTCCAGCTTGTTAGCTTCACAAGGACTTTCCTCTGTGAATTTAGTTAATTCCAATGTACTTAACAAAATTCTTCTGTTTACTATTCTGTACATAGTACTGATTTCTCAAAAATCTTCTCAAACACTTATATATTTAATGTGATAACTAACACTACATATATAAAAAATAGATGTATATAAACCTGATGTATTAATATGCTTACCAAATACAGCATCCCATGTCATGTAAGCATCACGTGCATACTTCATACATGTGATATCTCGAAAGAATACACTCATTATACTAGAATTGGAAACCTGTTTCCTGCAAATCAAAGGAAGCATGCCTGTAAGTACTACATCACATTCAGGGGCAGATTTCAGTATAGAAACTCCTCATTTTAGGAACAGAATGCATTCCTGAAAGTTGTCAGTTATGCAAGAATTCATGAAATGAAACTTAATTTTCCTTTCATTTAAAGGCCACAGAGATCAAGTGGCCAGAATATTGCATAGATATACCTATAATACAAACAAATAATTTGGGTGGGGTGGGTACGTAGCTAGGTAACTAGCTGGTTATCCAAGTAATGGACCTAATCATCAAGTAACTAATTATCATCTAGCAGAGTATAAACATTAATGGACTGACAGACTAAAAACTTAAGTGATTAACTCAATGGCGCAGGGGTTTCCTTAAGTGGGTGTTACTTATGGAGCTAGTCAAGAAACTTCCTGCTTCTATGGGATTCAAAGGTTCATTTATAGTCATCATTGGACCACACCTGAGTTAGCTTAAACCAGGGCCACGCCATAGCTCAAGCGGTTAGTCGCTGGCTACCCATCGTGGCAGCCTGGGTTCGATCCCAGGTCTGGTCAAGTGGGATTTCTGGTGGACAAAGTGGCGCTGGGGCAGGTTTTCTCGGAGTACTTCGGTTTCCCCTGCCAATCTTCAATCCGCCAATTGCTCCACAATCACCCTCACCTATCATCTGGGGCTGGTACAACAGGCCAGAAGAGGCCGCAGTACAAGGGACTTAGTCCCATCCCACTAGCAAGAAAAAAATAGCTTAAACCGTTTCCTACCTTCATGTCTCCCCATTTATGCATAGCTCTGCCACATTATCACCTGAGCAGAGGAAGGTAAGAAGCTATACAAAGCCTCCATTCCATTTGCTGACAATCCAATTAATTAATATAATCTCATACAGCATCACTAAAAAACTTATTATACAGAGAGATAATGAATTACACTAATTACTATGAATGAGAGTAAGGAAATCATAATAGAGAGAAATATACTTTCAGATTACATTAAAAAGAATAGATTAGTGTTCCGAATACAGTACCAAACAAATGAAAAGGCAGAAAAACAATAAGGGACCAAAGTATCGTGGACAGAGCCGGAAAAATACTCATGGCATTTTATGACTGTAGCAAACATTTGTTAAGCACACTTACAAAATATGTAATTTGTTAGAATTGGCTATTCATAAAATGAGGAGGTTTTGTAATATTTTGAAGAACTCACAACACGGATTCAAACTTCACAAACTTGGGTTCTAGGACTGCAATCTCTGTGATGATGGAGTATGACATGTCTGTGCACTGAGGCAGGCAGGTACAGTTCATGCCTTCTGTCTCATTCTTGCTGAAGATTTCCCCAAATGCAGGTCTGCCAGACGGGTGCAACCCAGTGGTCATGCCTGCACAAAACTTACCAGGGTCAACCAAAACATTACAACAGATATTTATCACAATATTAAAATTCAAATATCAAATATATTGAAATGCTTAAAAAGCATGGACAAGCTGTTTGTGAACATTCATGCAGTCAATTAATGTTTCTTTTGGATGTTCTGTTATAAACCAGCATCAAGGTAGTTTACCTTCTATGCAGGGAGGAACAATGAGAACTAGCTTCATCGAGCAATGTCATTCTGGAGCAGCTAATAATTCGTAACCGAGGAATTTCCCCCCCCCCTTTTATGAAACCCAAATATTCATTACTATCTTAACAAGATTCCACCACTAGGCCATATCCTAAGAACGTTAAATCCAGATCACTCCCTCATATACTATTTATTTAAGATTCATCTTCTGTATTATCCTTCCGTTTAATTTTTTAATGCTAGTGGGGTGGGACTAAGTCCCTTGTACTGTGGCCACTTCTGGCCTACTGTACCAGCCCCAGATGATAGGTGAGGGCGATTGTGGAGCAATTGGTGGAATGAAGATTGGCAGGGGAAACCGAAGTACTCGGAGAAAACCTGCCCCAGCGCCACTTTGTCCACCACAAATCCCACTTGACCAGACCTGGGATCGAACCCAGGCCGCCGCTGTGGGAAGCCAGCGACTAACCGCTTCAGCTATGGCGCGGTCAACCCTTCCATCTAAGTCCAAGTCTATGAAGCAGTTTCTTCCATTCAGGTTTCTGATGAAAATTCTATACACATTTCTCATGTCTCCCATGTATGCTACATGCCTCACTCATGTCACCTCATTCGCCTAATCATCCTAACATGTTGTGTTGAAGAATCAGGACTATGTAGTCCCCTTTGACCGCCTTTGTGGTCTAGTGGTAAGAGTTCCTGGCTACAGATCCAGAGGTCTGGGTTCGATTCCTGGAGCTACCAGATTTTCTGAGAAGTAGTGGGTCTGGAGTGGGGTCCACTTGGCCTCGTAAGGCTAACTGAGAAGTTATTTGAAGGAAATGATGGCTTCGGTCTAGAAAACTGAAATTAACGGCTGTGGGGATTCGTTGCACTGACCATGCGACACTCTATCCACTAAAGTTGGCATTAACTTCACCGACAAGCGGCAGTTGCTTGGTTGTTATAGTTTGTTTGCGGACTAAAACCATGGAGTTTGTTGTTTTTTTTGTAGTCCCACTTACTGGATGTCACTCCATTCTGTCTCCTGTTTTGTCCAACCATGGATTCATCTCCAACTGACTGCCCACTGTGAAAGATATATAAGCGGTGCTAAAACCTCCCCATAGTCGTTAACCCTGAAGATGGAAAACGCAATGTTTGTCAAAATGTTGGAAAAATCCTCAGCATCCCCAAAAGCCGAAGTCACACATGTAAGGAACAGTAACTTAAAAACATCTTGAAGAGCAAAAGTCTGAAGATTTGGAAAGAAACGAGTATAAGGCAAGGCAATTTCTGGGTGTGAAAGATGCTTCTAGCATAAGCAGGAATGGTGGCACTATTGTGTACACACCACAGGAGCTTAGTTTCAAGAGGGTCAACCTCCTGTCCTTCTAGGCACAGAATAGAACCAGTCTTGGTACATTCAGATCAGCTCCCTGATGCTGATACTCACGTCTGTACTGCCGCAGGCACTCTGTGTCTTGCAGTGTGCACACATGGCTGCTGTCATCTGAAAATGGAATCAAGACGTCTCAATATATATGTAGGTCAGAGCTTTTCAGATCCATATGTGATGTTAATTTCAACTAGCAAGAAATGGAGGCACGCAGTAGCATAGTTAGTTGAGGCACTGTGCTACAAGCCGGCAGGTCGCAGATTCGATTCCCGATGTAGTCAATGAATTCTTTTAACTGAGCTAATCCTTCCAGCTGCACTATGGCCCTGAGGTCGACTCAGCCTCTAACAGAAATGAGTACCAAGAATGTTCTTGGGAGGTAAAGGACGGCCGCGCATAAGGCTGACAACCTTACTGCCATCTGTGGGCTGATTGTCTAGAAAATGTGGGAGCCTCGACTTCTCAAAACCCTATGAGCCTCCATGGCCTGTTATATGGATAGCCTTACTTCCCCCCCCCCCCGGGACATAGATACAGAGGAAATGTTTTGGACATCCAGTGAATGGCATCCGTAAATTAAATGTTCTCTAACTCTATTCCAGCAGAATGTGATTCAGGATTTTACCATATAATGTCAATAAGTTGAAGCTGGACAAGTGAATAACCAAAACTGTTTCCGTAAGATATATAATTCATATGCCATTAACCTTTAGTGAATGCAGTTATCTTCAAACTGCTTGCCTTCTGACTTCATATGTGAACTCTAAATTTTCTGCAATATCTCAAAGCATTCTAATTTTATTTTCCAGAAGTCCTTTCAGTAGCATTATCACATCACCCTGACCATCTTCAAGTGATTCAGAATGAAACAATTTCAAGGTGGTCTGGGTTTTGGAAACAAAATAAAAAAGGTCACACAGTGTCAACTCAGGTAAGTAAGTGTTTGCTTACTGGTCGAGAATCAATCTGCCAAAAGTGCTGTGAGGTAAGGCACAACATCATGATATAGAATCTACCTAATAGATAAATTATTTTACCCCTTTCATGAATTTGCAGCTGTAAACATTTTGAAACTTGAAAATAACATGTTTTGCTTACCGTTTTAAAGGAACAAATTCATAACTGATATAAAAAGAAAATGTCAATCTTTGATTTTGATATTCACAACTTTTTCTGTATCAGAAATTGTGTACATTTCCAGTGGAGAAATTGCTATTTTATTTCCGGGATCATATTGAAAGATTCAAGCCTCTCGTCACCAGCCAATGTTGCTTCAAAAGGCTGAGTCCTTCCAACACTCTTGCAGAAAGGCCTAACAAATTTATTTTCTAATTTTTGGACAAAAATACAAAACAACGCCCTGATACCGCTTACTGTAATAACAAGGAAGCTAAATCTCAATGGCTGTTTGACATCAGCCCTCTTATTCAACTATCAAGCATTGTATATATTTATATAATTATTGCATATTAAGAAAAGTACTTTTCTGGGGATGATAACACATAAAAACCTGACTGAGGGGGAAATTGAGAAGAGATTGAATTTGGGTAATGCTTGGTACCATTCAGTGCAGAACCTTTTGTCTTCTCAACTGCTGTCCAAAAACATAAAAATTAGAATATACAAAACTATAATTTTTCCTGTATGTGTGAGAAACGTGGTCTCTGACATTAAGGGAGGAACACAGACTGAGGATGTTTGAGAACAGGGTGTTGAGAATATTTGGACCAAAGAGAGATGAAGTGACAGGAGGTTGGATAAAACTGCATAATGAGGAGCTTCATAACTTGTACTCTTCTCCAAGTATAATTAGAATGATCAAGTCAAGGCGGATGAGGTGGGCAGGGCATGTAGCACGAACGGGGGAGAAGAGGAACGCATATAGGATATTGGTGGGAAAGCCAGAAGAAAAGAGACTACTGGGAAGACCAAGACATAGGTGGGTGGACATTAAAATGGATCTTAGAGAGACAGGATGGGATGGGATGGATTGGACTGATCTGGCTAAGGGTAGGGACCAGTGGAGGGCTCTTGTGAACACAGTAATGAACCTTTGGGTTCCATAAAATGGTAGGAAATTCTTGAGTAGCTGCAGATTTGGCAGCTCCTCAAGAAGGGCTCAGCTCCATAAGTAAGAAAAGTACTTCAGGAGCTGAAGCCAATGTGTGAAAGGAACAGGTCCACATGTACCATACAATTTACTGAAGCTCCAAAAGTTAATTAACTCTGTAAACGTGTCACTAAGATACAACAGAATGTTTGGTCAGGAATGACAGGCAACATAATAGTGTGTTTGAGCACTTGGAATGGAACTGGTATGCTTTATAAATAAGATACTGACTGAACAGTGGGTAGAAGAAGGGTATGCAACCACACTTGTCTTGAAAGGCCTTCATGCGGCACTCTGTGAGGCAGTTGTAATAGCTGTATTTGGGGGACGTGTGCACGACAGCTACTTCGTCGTCGAACCAACACTGGCGGTTCTGCACGCTAATCCACCGGACGTCACTCATGCTCTCAACAACTTGTGCTTCCAGCATCACTGAGACCAATCGTTGAGGTTCTATTAATGCCATCTGTAGGCCTGCATCTGGAAAGTCGTCCGGGTCATGGAACACAGCCTGCAACAAAGATGACTCTTACTACCGTGTGCCATGCTAGGAGACAGTGGGAAAATAACAATAACACTGACATTGTCACATACTGGATAGAGGTGTACCATAAATACACAGCTGGGATAGCACAGATGGTATAGCATTTGGCTATGGGCTGGATGACCGAGGAGTCAGAGTTCAAGTCCTGGTAGGGCCAAGAATTTTCTCTTCTCCACGTCATCCAGGCCAGCTTTGGGGCCCACCCAGCTTCTTGTACAATGGGTATCAGGGGATCTTTCCCTGGGGTTAATTGTATTGTATTGTATTGTATTGAAGAGGGTGGGTTTCCCCATGGACTTAGACCAACTGTTGGTCCATTGTGCGCCCCCCAATGATATTCTACCAGCTTCTATACCCTACTGGTACTGGTGTGTGCCATCAGTCCCGACTCAGCCAGTGAGTTCAGCCTCTACTGGCTCAGTGGTATCTCAATGCTTCCCCCATCTACCAGAGGCATTAGAGACTACTGTTGGGTGGGAAATGTCCTGAATTTGGCTCAGTGGTCCCCTTGGAACATGAGGTTCTTTTACGTGCCTTAAAGCTACGACACGGGGACCCATGGCTTAAACTCCCTCCCGGAGGACTTGTTCCCTGAATTTTTCTGCCCTTAAAAATTCCACGACCTCCGCCGGGTTTGAACCCACGTACCTTGAGTCACGAGGTGGGAACGTTACCCCTAGACTACGGAGGCCACTTCCCTGGGGTTAAAGTGGCCAGGTTGCGGAACTGGGCCGTTGCCTAGCAATGGGTATACACCTTACAATATAAATTCAGAACTGCAGAAAAGGCAAATGGACTTTTATACAAGTGCTGGGACAGAAGTGCATGCAGACAGTAAAGGAATGTGTAGCAAGTTACATAAAAGGTTAGGAAAATACACAGTAAATAGCATTGAAAACAAACACAATTGTACGCTGGTATAGGATAACGCTAAACAAACAACCGAGAACAGAAAAGTGATGGATGATCAAGGTTAGGGAAAGGTATCAACTACATGAAACAGAGAATCAACGTTTCAGGGACTCAACATGAAAGTCTGTATGACTCACCCGTATTCCATACAAAGGATCCAGTGGAGCAAAATATTCAAGCTGTCCTGTGTTCAAGACCACAGTCAGACCTGCATGCCGCCCGGCACCATACGCATAATGTATTCTAGCCTCCTCTTCATCTTTGGCACTAAAATAATATTTAATAACATTTAATCTACAGAACAGAAAATGTACTGTCTGAGAAACAGTCATAACAGAATTATAGTAAAAATACAACAGAAATCACCTCACATAAGCAAATGAATCACTTTTGGAGGAAGAAGTAGGGCAGGCACAAGTGATAAGGGATCTATCACTCATAACCAGGAGATTTTATTGAGTATTCTCAGCATGAAATGTACTACAAAATGAAAATATGTGAAAGTTAATTCTGTATGTTTCAAGAATATAAGATTAAAGTAAAAATGTTAAAGTTTCTGACACTGTTACTTGGAGGGGAGAAGAAGGGTTTGGATTTAGCTTAGACACAAAAATGGCTACTTTTTCATCTCAAATGTAAGTGCTCATAAGCTAATTTAAACTACAAGGTAACGTTTAAATGCAAAACATAATTATGATGTGTAAAAAGAAAAATGAATCATACTTAGTGATGGCCCTCTGGCTTGCTCTAACAGAAAATTAGTTTAAATAATAGATGGAGTTGAGGATCTGACAGTTGTGATTATGAAGACTTCTATCTTCTGGGTTAAAACGCCATGTTTCTCAGGGAACACCAATGGGAGAACACTTGGTGACTTGCAAGTTCCCTCCTAGCATGCACTGATTCTGTCCTTTCCAAGTTAAGTTTGCTCTGGTTGCAACCTGCCTTCTGCAGATTTCCTGTTTGGCTCACTCCTCAACCCTAAAGATGTTGGGTGATATGTTCCTCTGAAATGTCAGTTGTCTGTCTCCAGACTAAAAGGTATTATAACCCAGAGTACAGTAATCTTCAATCTGAACAACAGTTTGAATATATAGACATAAATGTTATATGTTTCTGCACAGTGTACACAAAGTGAAAACATAAACAGAGGTCATGTCCATCCCTCTGTCAATCTCTAGCTTATAAAATGTTGACAGAATTTCAACTGAAGTCCGGTACTGGAGGGTTACACTAAAATACATCAAGTAAAATTAATTATGTTACTAATCAATGCAAATACCATCTTCACTACATAAAACTGAAATCTTATTTGATTTCAATTTCAATTTATTTAATGTTCCATGGATTCACAGTATATGTAAGATACAGAACATGTCAAAATAGTACATAATATATAGAATAAATAAAACAAAGTAACTGAATAGAATAAAATGAAATAAAATATGTTGAATTAGATAGTTGATTCCAGTGAATACATAACACTTAATACTATTAGAATTGACTATGAACTAACAATAGAAACATTTCAACCAAGAACTAGTCAAATATCAGACTACAAGCAAATTCATTTTCACAAAAAGAAGAACTAACCACCTACTTCTCTTTGACATGACATAGAACAAACAGAAAACGAACATGTTCAAGAAGTCTTCTTTTGTTGAGTGTGTATTTGTTGTAATATTTTTACCGAGCAGCTGCCTAGCAATTATAGAGGGGTACACACACACAGACACACAGACTGATGGAATGGATTTATGAAGTATGCCATTGAGATAGGCTCAGGTACCATGATATACATACCAGGTCTCGTAAAGACTTAATCAGACATTCAAAAATTAATGGGGTGGGGGACACATACACAGACAACATGATGCATAAGCCTACTTTTATTTTTTCATTGTAAGGACAGTACACTAAAAAATGGCTTATTGGGCAAGAACTTTCATATTACTGACGTTATGAAATGGGAAATTTTTCGAGAAGAAATTAACTCCTTCCAAAACGAAAAAAAAAAAAAAAAATCCCATCTTTATTATACCCAAAAATTCATTACTGCATTCACTAGGTCTCATTCCTGAACCCTATGATTATGAACTTCTGAGAAAGGTTGCAGACAATTTAATTAGGTAACTAACTTAAGAAATTAAGACATCTACAAAATGTAAGACATTCAAATGGCTCTGCATCCTATATTTGAACTATTACACCAATATTATTCTCCTACAGACGCTGTATTAACGAGTAAAAGTAAAAGTAAAAAAGTAAAGCTATCCCTGTACCAGGCCGTGAAGGCCCATAGGGTTGTGAGACGTCGAGGGTCCCACATTATCTAGACAATCGGCTCAAAGATGGTGGTAAGGTTGTCAGCCTTATGCGTTGTATTAATGAGTACTGTGACATATATTTTACAATAAACATACATCCTCAGCTTCTCATCAATGCCATGATAGTTGAAAGAACAGCACACACCCAGCACAGACTTGGAAACTTGAAACAGATCAGAGCAGTTGCTTTCGGCATCCTGCCATATGCATTTCACCAAAATCTCCTCGCATGGTGGCGCCAACTACAAACAAACATCAACATATTTCACATAAAAATTAATTTTATTTATGGCTTATATAACACATATTCTCATGGGCTGCCTTTGTGGTCTAGTGGTCAGAGTTCTTGGCTACACATCCAGAGGTTCCGGGTTCGATTTCCAGCGCTACTAGATTTTCTGAGAATCAGTAGGTCTGGAAGAGGGTGCACTTAGCCTCGTGAGGATAATTGAGGAGCTAGCTGAATGGAAAAGTAGTGGTTCTGGTCTAGAAAACCAAGATTAATGTCCGTGGGGATTTGTTGCGGTGATCACGTGACATTCTCTATTGGCTAAAGTTGGCACTAACCTTGCTGACAAGCGGTGGTCGCTCGGTCAGTAGTTATAGTTCATTTGCAGACTAAAGCCATGGAGTTCTTTTTTTTTTCATAACAAACATTATCAGCTGCTCACACTGCACAACACTGCATTGTAGGATCATTAGTGAATAATGAACTGCAAAGATTTTGAAGGGAAGGGGTTGTGATTTATTTTGCTGTAGTATTCTGGTATCTGCCTGGTGGGACTGAGGAAAAGTCATGAGGAATCTAGGCCATGAGAGCATATCACTAGATCAAGATTTTTAACTAGGGACCTTCTGAATACAAAGCAGGAATACTGCCCCTCAACTGAAACATCTGGTGATGGCAATGTTGTGAAGTGATGCCTTACTTCAAGAAACTAGATACAAGTTAACTTGCCTCTAACATAAGGTCAGTGATGTTATACCCTGCCCTGAACAGCATGTCCTGAGCCATGTGTGCCTGCTGGAGATCTATTTTCCTGGGATTGATCAGTGCTGGCAACATTCTTAGCACTTCCAACACAACAGAGTAGTTCAGATGTAGCTGTGTGCTTCTGTGGGTAAGTAAAGTCATATACTCTTCACACATGTATTATTGGAATAATGAAATAGTGGGGGATACAAGGGGTAGAACATCTAGAAGGCATGAAAAATAAAAAATACAAATTTCAGAAGGAAAACTTCAAGGGACAGGCCACTTGGAAGATCTAAAAACGTTTCTGAATGAACTATATATCTATTCATTCAAGTCCATTGGACTAGATGAACATATCTTTAGAAAGAAGTGTTTCTTTTTTCAGATATTTTCTTCTGTTTACTTGGAAGAGGTGAAGAAACACAAGCCTATTGATTACATAGCAGGATGTCAATAATTTGTGTTAATTCAGGCATGCACCCATACACAAATTAAGGTGTCTCTTTATTTTATACCATCACTTTTGAAAGCATACCTAAACATGTGCCAACAACCTCAATGTCCAGTGAATGACTTTGCTATATAGATAATTATAGACAGATATTTCATTATAGATAAAATATGAAAGAGTAATAATTGCTAAATGTACCAAACTTCAATGTCAGACATGTTAAAATTTCCTGTACTTAATTAACTAAGTGACAAACACATACAAGAGAGTGATAATATAGTTTCATACACACGAATGGTCAGCTTCACACTTGCCAGAAAAACAATGAATCCAAAATCTGATATTGTAAAGTACACTGTACCTACAAAATCTCTATATATTTTATTGAAATCAAAACAGACTTTCATAAATATTGGAATAATACAAAAAGATGGGTCACTGACGTTGCCGTACAAGTATGAAAGTTATAATTACATTGAAAAAATGAATAGGGATTTTATGAACACAGTGAGTTTATTACTAACATTTTCCCCTTGGCCACATACACCCTCATATTCATCTAAAAATTATTCAAAATATCTGTTCCCATTGCACAGAAAACACGCTGCATCTGTTACAAAAATCAGTAGGTTAATTCTGCTTACCAAAGTGATCACTCTCTACTCTCAGAAACATGCAACATACATGCAAAGTGAGGAGTCAATGTTAAAGCAGACGGTACACATAGACAAGGAATGCACCATAAGTAGTACCCACAGGTTTTCAGCAAGTTTAATGGCTGCAGGTTGGTAGACCTTGTTGTTGTTGCAGAGTGTGACAGCGGGAAAGGGGATGTTCCAGATGGGGTAATTGGTCGTTTCCACATTTGTGACAGTGGGACTCTCATTGAACCTGTTCCACACTATCTTCATCATGATGACAGCCACAGTAATGCATACAATACACACTGCAGCCCACAGCAACCTGTGGCACACAAAGAATCTAAGAACAGTTCAGTCTCTAGACCCAGAGTAGCAAAGTGCACTCCATTTTATTATAAATAAATCCAATTTTGAAGTCTGTTGACATATAAGAACCATTAAATTCTCCACAATTTAATATTCTTTTCTATAAGTAAACGAGTTTATATACATTTCCAATAATTTCCTAATCTTACCGAAGAGACTACAGTCCCCCAATACACTGAAACGCATTGTCACTGTGAACTTAACCAGGGTGTATCACTGAGACTACGTCACGATATTCACCTGTGATTGCTTGGGTAGATATCCTATGCATACCACATAATGTGGGCTCGGTTGGAGCTGCTCACAATTTTCAAAACATTTATACACTGTTTCACACACTACTCACATTTCTTCACATTTGACAAAGAGTTCCATATTGTTGTCTGTACTGCTATGTTATACCACTTCCTTCCTTTTGGTTTGATTCCCCAGTATAGTGGCATCATGATCACAAACATTATAACAAACCACTACAGACTTCGTACTAACACAATAATGTTGCGTGGGGAAACATCGAAACTCTTGTTAAATCGCAAATATATTATATATTAAAAATTATGTACACACCTTACTACTGCATTAAATAAAACACATATTGTTCTCACTGAGAGCTGTATTTCAAAAATAGAAACATACTAATAGATTTAACTATAATGTGAACTCATTCTTCGGCATACATACTGTCTACGTAAGCAAAATTAAACAGATCGACTGTATGATTTGCATTCGGCATCCCATCTGAATTCAGGTCGTCCATCTTGATTTTCCTAATGCACCAATATCTGCATCCGGAAATTCCAACCATATTGTGCCAATATTAAAATATACACCCTACACAGAAATATTGATTAATATGTCGAATATTACCTGTATATAGTTCCTGTGGACAAAGTTTCCAATTAAATTTGTTTACACTCGTAGGAACAGGTCTCACAGGCACACAGGCAATATGGTTCATTCATTGCAGATTTTTAAATACTTGCCCAAATTTCATGAAACTCGGCATGAAAGACATGCCATTCAAGGCCTTCAAAAATCTACCACTTTCAGTTTATTATAATCCTTAACAAAAGCACAATGGACACGCGAACTCATGAGGTGGGACACACAATTGCAGCAACCACCTTACAGCACACCACTGCGCATCCAACTGCGCACCTCCCTCCTCATTTAGGGCAACACTGTGTGAGATTGAGCAATGTTGGGTTCAGTTAGGTCGGTTTGCGCAACACACCACTGCGCATCCACTTGTTCCTACTGGCACAGTTGCGTCCGATGGCTTTAAGTTGGATTAGGCTGCGTTAATTTAGATTATATTGACGCATCACACCAACTCCTATCAATCAGAGCACAAGGTTTGGCCTTTTATTTTCAAGAGTTTATAAATCTTTGATAACTCTGAAACCTCTTTTCAGATATTAAAATATTTTCAAAGTTTTAAAAGAAATTAAGACTTTTTAAACTCTACAAGTTTCCGATTTTGTGGGATTTGGGTTCATTTTAGATTTATTTTTTCAAAAAGGTTCAAATTCTAAAAATGTTCAATTTTGAAACAATTCCGTTATTCGAAATGGATAGATTTTGATACTTCTAAAATAAGCTAAGTCTTTATAGTCGGAATGTAACAACATATTCACCTTTCTGCAAACCAACTTTTGGGCGATGCCATGTAGCGAAATCCATGAAGTGTTGTCTCTTCAGCAAAGAGCCTCAAGTGATCGTGCAACAGCGTACTTCTTGCGGCGCCCCTAACGGATCTGAATCTGCGAAGCCATGGAATAGCGCGTCTCCTCGATCTCCAGCCTTTGGAATAATGTCAGGAGTTATAACGTGCTGTACAGTCCCGTGGGATGTCGGTGCCGGTACTCGGGGAGACAAACACGTACATTTCTATAACAGATATTTATTGCTGTTAGAAGAAGCGCATACAGAGGAACAGGCAAGCAGTGTGTGCGATATATGGTGAGGTCAGGGCCATAACTTTAAGGCGCGCCTGATGAATGAAGGCGAAGCTCCGCTTGTGCTAACGACGACGATCTTCCTTGCGTCGGTAGGCGGATGACTGCGGGCCGGCCGTAGGGCGATTTCCCGATGGGTCTAGCTGACCGCTCTCGGAGTCGGCTGACGGTGTTGCTGCTAGTAGACTCGCTGTTGCTGTGTGCGCTCCAGATGAGCAGCTATCTCGAGGTAACCGTAGCTCCGACCGACTGAGTAGCGTGGCGTGGCCCGCATCTTTATCCGCTGCTGTTAGCGGTGCCCGGGCCAATGGCAGTTGGCTCTGCCGTGGTTCGCGCTGATGGGCTAGCGCTTGCTTCGCTCTGCCGGTCGACCGAAAGTTGCGGTGCTGGCCTAGAGATGCGATGTACTGTTACCGCCTAGTAACTTTAGCCGCGCGGAAAGGCAAACGCTGCTGTGGGGCACGCGAAGCTGTACGCTTGCTGTGGTGACGTTCAGAGCTACTTCCCGAGCGGAAAACATTGCCTACGGAGACCAGGAGTAGTACTGTACACCTGACCACACTCCAAGACTCTACATTCCAAACTGGTAGTACCCACGCTGACGTAGGCTGACAAGACTGCTCCCCCCGCTCCGCGAGAGATGGTATGACCCCTCTACCGCGGCTAAAGATACGAGGCAGTAACAGTAGTAGGCTCGCACAGTTTTCTTGGGAAGATGACAGTAGCTCAGCTGGTCAGGAGTTCTCTTCCTCTTTAGGAACTTAAAGCTTAATTATTATGGGCGCAGTCGGTGGGCAAACCAGACACGCCATCCCTCTGGGGGGGTAAATTGAAGAAAAGGAGCAATACCAAATATTAATACTAAAAATTAAAAATGATTAATAAATAATTTTCTTTTCTGAATACTTTATGTAGGTCGATGAGTAAAAACAGTTTTACACCGCTTAAACCTAAGCTTGAAAGCAAATTGTTTATGTGCCCCTCGCCCTGGGAAAAAAAATTCTGAAAATGACTTTCGCACAAGAACACCCACTGCAGTAAGTAAACGGATGGTCAACATGCCGGATTTTATAGCATAATGATAATTTCAGCGTAACTATCATAAAGAATCCTTCAATTCAGCATATTATCTGTTATCTTAGATGCGTACGACAAAGAAAATCCACGAATGATGTTTAAAATTAGCATATAATCTGTCCAGTTTTCAATAGAAAACTGTTGGCTATGAACATAGTTATTAAATTTTGAGCTTAGAACCTGCTGAGAAAACAATTTCCTTACATGCGCAAAGTTTTAACCTATAATAACAAACGGCCTCAGAAACACCTAACCTCACTTCTGGAACTTACAGTCACATTTATACCAAGATACTAAATTTTATAGAATGACACTGAGCTGTGCTGCTATCTAGAGACACGCTGCAAATTCTTTCGGCGTTATGCAGCCATATACTGCTGCCATCTTCTCATTCTTTCTATAACTACAATGAACTCACACTGCTAACACATAACAGCTTTTCACAGTCATCCTGTATAAGAATTCAGGAGATTCTGATGTGTCTTTGTGTTGTGGTGGACGTATAACCTACCCTTCTCTCTTGCTGAAATAATTTTCGGTTTTGAAGTAACAAGGTAACGCACACGTTTCATGTTGGCACTGGTAGCTGGCACAGTTGTTCCACACTAAATCACGTGGCAAACTGCTTGGCTATATAAAGAGATAAACGTAACACCGATAAATATCTTGTGGACATAATGTTACAGACATGCTTACGTGATTCTGGCATACAGTATTACACAAAAAAGCACTAAATCGACCTGGGATTATGGATCACAATAAATAACGTGCTTGTCTGATTGACAAATTCAATCACAACTGACGTTTTCGTGACAAAAATGTACGGGCTGTATTTCTCCACCTGGCTTCTAATATGCGTGTAAAGGGAAGAGAAACGTGACGCAAGTAGGACTATATCCGTTTTACCAGCTGAAAGTACTCTCTATGCATCACCATGGCAACGGGAAGTTTTAACAGAACGTTTGACGCTATAAGTAAAGTTGTCCACGTGCTTAACTAATTTAGCACTACGCCATGAAGGCGTATGGGGGAGTGGATGTATAGATCCACACTTTCTTGATATCAGCACTAACTGGAGGTGAGTGGTCAGCTTCACGCACCGGCCGCTTTACCCCCGGAACCCGTTGTATAGGAGCCTGGCTGGGCCCCAAAGCTGGTCTGGTCGACGTGAAGAAGAGGAACTTCCGACCCCTGTAGCCAGTCACTATACCGACTGAGCTATCCCGGCTCCCCGCCTGACGCTGTATAGTCTCGATATCGACAATGTCGTTAAATAACCAACGGGGGGCGTTGAGTTGATGTACGTACCTCCATTGGTCCTGTCATCAAATCTGCGACGTAACGGCTTCGCTGTGAAGCCCCCATAACACGCCATGTTGTTCATGTGACGCGGCCAGGTAACGACACAACTACCTAAACCAAGAGAGGAAATGAAAGTTCTCATGAGTTTCCCGTACTTAAGAATGTGTAAGAGATAACTGAAAATGGTACAAAATGGATAGAAATTGAACAGATCAAGCGTTCGATTATTCAGCCAACTTACGGAAAACGACAGCATTGTGAAGTTTAATTTTTCTCAAAGAGTATTTCAATAATCAGCATGAATAAAATTAAATTCGTGGTTTTCATAAATACCATTTTATTTACATTAACACGTGATTTACTATTTTGTATACAAAATAATTTAAATTTAATTCAATAATTTATTTGTCAGGTCAGATTTAGAGAGTATTCACTCTAAAAAGTTTTACTATATTATTATTATTATTGGAGGGGGTGGGTTTCCCCATGAACCGCGACTAGTGGTCTACTCTACGTCCCCCTGTGATATTCTACCAGTCTCTAAACCCTACCGATACTGGTGCGTGCCAACAGTCCCGACTGAGCCAGCGAGTTCGGCCTATACTGGCTCAGCGGTATCTAGATGCTTCCCCCATCTATCGGAGGCCTTAG